GTTTTATACAATATTTCATTCGGTGATAATTATCAACTGCGCACCATGGTCACTTTTTACCTGCCAGCATTAAATCCTTTAATTTAAAGGATTATTGTACTATTTTTAATAAAAATACCTTATTTAAGGTAAAAAAAAAACATTATTGTGTCAATTAATTAATTTAATCCTAATTAAGGTAAAAAAAATGGTATTTAGTTATAAAGAAACTATTTATAGTTTAGCATTATTTAATCAATTTTGTTCGAAGATTAATTTGCAAACAAAAAGACCTTCTTTCGTTAAGCAGTTATTCATAATGGATTTTTTAACGGTGGAAGAAAAAATAGAAATGATTTTAATTTACGGAGAAGCAGGCAGGAATCTTGATGATGATGTCAATATCTACGCTCAGCGTTTTCCGGATAAAATTCGATCGCGTACTTCATTTTACCGTACAGTCAAGCAGTTTACCACAAACGGGAGTGTTCAACCAAAAGAAGGAGTTCGTCGAGCAACAGTCACAGGTGGAAATAACGAAATTAATGTGTTATCAGCAACGGCCGCTAATCCTCATGCAAGCAGACGAGAATTATCTAGAGATTTGGGAATATCCCAGAACAGTATTTTATTCAAAAATTATTGGAGAATCGAACACAGAAGAAAAATCAAACAAAATTGAATTTTTTTCATTACAGCGCCATCTATTACAAATATGAAAAAATGTGTATAATAAATATATTGAAATAAAAATCATACTTGAAAAATCTGATTCCATTTTAGCGATAAAATTGTGTCAAACTCAATGGAACCATAAATGTTATATTGGCATTGTCGGTAGAGAATTCAGTGCACGTTTATATATAATGCATGACCGTATGGGAGTTAAATCGTATCTGTATCGTAAATAACTCATGGGTCTTAGGAGATATGTGGGCAGAACAATGCCTGTGTGCTGCCTTTGATAATTAATTTTAACTCCACGAAATATTTCTTCCTTTGAAATTCATTTATATTGGAACAATGCTGAACAAAACAAATGTGCAAGCAAAATCAATCCAAATGCTAAAAATATTTATTGTCCAATGCTATCTGTTGGGGCTAATAAATAAATGTTTTTTTTTACTTTATATTAGCCATCATTTTTTTTTATTTTACTAGACAGGCATATTTTTTATCGATTCACATGACCGTCGAGCAAAATCCAATATTTGCGATCTTCAAAAAATTTAATTTAACTTTTAAGTAGCCAAAGAAAATTAAAATATTGCAAATGGCGACAGTTAATTCTGCAGTTCAGTTAGCTATACGAGGTGTATTCAGAAAACAACGGGAATTGTTAAATTTCGCGGATTCGGAGGGTCCGGTTGTCATAAAATTTTCTTTATTATGTTGGTATACATGCCCCCGAAGTATGATAAAAACTTTAGCTGTTTTCATTGTTTACTTTGTCTGTGGCAGCCGCTAAGGTTAGACGTGTTTTATGAGCTCGGCGATTTTTCGTTCGTTAAAAGAAATGGATCAAAGAATTTGTATCCAATTTTGCTTAAAAAATTAAATAAATTCCGTGAAATGTTAACAAAGGCCTATAGTGAGTCTGCTATAAGTAAAACAAGAGTTTACAAGTGGTATAAGAGTTTCCAAGATGGCCGTGAAGACGTTGAAGATGACGAACGCCCCGAACGCACAAGCACATTAACAACCGATAAAAACATGGAAAAAGTGGAATAAATGGTTATAAACCATCAGAGAAGTCGCTGATGATGTTGGTATATCGATTGGCTCATCCCATGAAATTTTTTCAAATGTTTTGAGTATGAAACGCGTGGCAGCAAAATTTGTTCCAAAATTGTTAAATTTTGAACAAAATTTTTGGCCAAAAAGAATACTGTAATGATGCCCATATTCGCCAGACATGCCTCTGTCTGACTTTTTCCTTTTCCCAAAAATAAAGAAAACCTTAAAGGGCCGTCGTTTTGCAAGCATAGATGACATTAAAAGGGCATCGCTGAAAGAACTAAAGGCTATCCCAAAGATCGAGTTTTAGAAGTGTTTCGAGTATTGGAAGAAGAGCAGGCACATGTGCATAATATCCAATGGGGACTACTTTGCAGGCGACAACATTAATAACTAAAATTCCCGATATTTTCTGGACACACCTCGTATATTTACAGTTCCTGTCGTGTATTTTGATATAGAAAAGGTATAGTGATAAAATGGCAACATAAATAGTTATAAATTGCTCGCTATGTTTTTTTTGTTTTCGGTTGTTTACCGATGATCTTTAACCTTTTTTTATTTTTACTTTTTTTTTTTCTTCTTTTTTTTTTTTTTTTTTTTATTTTTTTTAATCTTTTTTTTTTTCTTTTTTATTTTATTTTTTCTTTTTTTTCTTTTTTCTTTTCTTTTATCTTTTCTTTTTTTTACTACTTTACTTTTTTTTTCTTGTATTTTTTCTTCTATTTTTATTTTTACCTTTTTTTTTTTTTTTAAATCTGAAGTTTATTAGGAAAACTAACTTCTTAAGCTGCGTTCCAAATTTACGCGGCGTAATTTAATAGTTGACTGTTACCTAAACTCTGCTTATTACAAATAATCTTGTTAGACGGTGTAAACGTGGCTTTGCTTAAAATGTAGTCTCGGCTCGCAGGAGGCAGCATGAAAATCACGCATCTGCTGTAGCAGAGAACACGCCACGGCCTTAATCCGGATTTGCCCGGATTACGAACTTCAACCGGAGCAGGCGATTCGCTTGCAATTGTTTCGTTTCGAACGATAATCGACCCGTTTCTGGCCTTTAATTAAAATTTTTTTTTTCGCTTCCTTCAAAATTGCAGCTGCAGATTCCAATTAATTCTCCGGTTTTATTCCGATATTTGCACAATGATTAAGTGAACTATACGTTTTTGATTATGTCCGCTAGAAAAAAATAAGAGCTATTTTGCAGTGGCGTGCTGTGCCATTTAATATTTTTTTCTTTGGCCAAGACTACATTAAAAAAATAGTAGCAAACCAGTAGAACCTTAGTTGCTACCATTACAGAATGGTAATGAGTTATTGTTACGAATTGACATTACAGCAAAGTGATCGTTAACACTACTGCTTTAATTAATTTTTACTACATGTTGTTATATAATACCTAACCGTTTTATTAAAACCTTTTACCACTACACACTGTTGAAACTAACGACTACATATTGGTATATGGTACGCTTAGTATACTATTTCAGCTACTTAAATTAGTTTTTAAAACAGGATATAACAGTAAGGCGAACCTTAGCCAAAATCATTGTTTAATTTGTATTATTGATTGCATTTACCCCTATAATTAGGTTTTATCAACAGCACGGTAAGGTAGTAAATAAATGACAATATTTTATTAAAATAAAATTATTTATATGAATTTCCATAGAAATAAAAGTTAAATAACTAAATATAATATAAACTATGGCGGATCCTTAAATTATCGTACAAATATCCTTAAATTATCGTACGAATATATTGTAGTTTTTTTCTTCTTCTAAATTAGTGTTGCGCACACTGCCTAGTGAATGTGAGAAGTAAAAACCTTGCCAGTAACATATATACCTATAGGTCTTACTTTTAAACATCGAGAGAAAACGAGTTATAGGTAGGTACCTACCTAACCCCCAAAACTCAATATTATAATACCTATAGGTAAAATGCGTTTTACGATCCGTACCGGTTACCTACTAAAAACACGATAAAAACAGTATAATATCACAAAGCCGTAAACAGACAACCACGAAATGGCCGAATTTTCCGTTGCCCCTTCATTTGTACCAAATTTCATTAATTATAACACTATTAGTATTAATCACAGTAGTAGTAAACGTCAAAAAATTACTATTTGTAGTGGTAAGCTATTTATTACGAACCAGTTGTAATGGTAAAATTAACCATATGTCGCAGAATTGTACAATTTTTAACTATTTTGTTATAATCCGTGCCACACAGAAAAAACGCTAGCATAGCATGAATGGGTGATCCAATAAACCAATGGGATCTTGTAATCCGTATTCCTGAATAACACTTCCTATAATACCAATAGGTAGTTAGCACTTGGTTTATAATCGTTTACTGTTTTTAAATTATCAAGAAAAGTTATTGCTCCTAAATCTATTGATATTCATATTGATATTTATTTGTTACAATGGTAGAATGTTATTGCATTAAATACTAATTTGATTTATTTAATAACGTTACTATTGTATGTATACTATGTATACATTTAACGCAATAAATTCTTTGATATTTAGGCAAAATATTTACCTATTTTGATTTAATAGTAATTAATTGAGCTAATAACAATTTAGATTGCTCCAATTTTAATGCATTCAATGACAGTGCTGTTCTTGGTACTATGTTGGATTTTTTTCTGTACACTTCTAGTGGTAAATTTAATTTACAGAGTATACCATTCCGTAGTGGTATGTATCTCTCATTTAATATTGTAGCGAGTACGGTTCTGGATCTCGGAATGATGACTCATCGCCGGTGAGTCAGCGCTCGAATAATCGAGAGTGTGGAGCTCGCTGGAATGTTTCAGAAGACGTAGGCGCTGAATGTATAAGGAACGACGCATCATGGAGAGTCAGTCAAGCTTTGGTACTCGCAACAAAATAAATAAATATACGTGCAAATAAATAGTCTCTTGGACAGTAGTGATATATAAATAATTATTAGTTAAGTGTTTAGTTAGTTTTATAGTTTTTTAGTGTTTTAAGTGTAATTAAATTATAAAATAAATCGTTTAGTTCGTTAATAAACCAGTGCGTATTTTAATTCACACCACGAACAGTAAAAACGTTACAATATTAATCCTAATAGCATTGTCCCTGTTGTAGTTAGTCAAAGTAAAATAAAAGTGAGATAATTTTTTTCAGTGTAGGCATTATTGAAGATACATTTTATTTTCTTTATAAATAAGGGTTGGACTGTGATGTTTTCTATGATACAATTAATATTTCAATTGGCGATTAAGATAATAATAATCTTACCTTCCTGACATGCTGGCCCCCCTTTGCCCAGAGGGCACAGACACGTGGGCACCCCGTCGGCCCCCAAGGCGCACCCCCCTCCAGGCCCGCACTCCAAGGGGCACGGCTTCTCCGTGGAGATGGGCAGAGTGGCCCTGGGCAAGGTCACCCCTCGCTCGGACGTGAGCTTCTGCTCCAGCCGCGGGCCCTGCGTGGTGAATGGGGTGCCGTTCGGGGGCGCTTGGGGGACGTCGTTGCTGTCTACCGTCGCGTTCGAAAGGGAAAACTCCAATGCGTCCATCACTGCGTCTTTCTGATAGATGACGTCTTCTCGCGTGTCTGACTGCAGCTCCTCAAGTGAGAGGGGCGATGCCGTTGAATTTATTTCTGGAAGGATACAAACGACGCGATTAAAAATACGAATGTTCCTTGTCAAGGCGTTAGCTTAATCAGTTTTAGTTTGGAAGTTAATTTTTTTACACCAGCAATGGGGTAGTTATTCAAGGCGTTTTGTAATTTTAAACATTTCTGTGAAATCCGAATTTCAATTGAGTTTACCGTTTTCGAGATATTTACGAAAAAAAATCTCCTAATTACGTCACTAGGCTATTGACAACGTTGCCAGCTTTTTCTATGGTTGCCAGTGTGTTTAGTTTAAGATTCTTACGATAGATGGCGCCACGTTATAATATTTTAGATTTAAAACCACTTGATCTATAATTTTAGTTGAGAAGAAGAAGAAGAATTGATTTTTTGACGTTTCTTTTTTTCGGGTCATGTTTTTTTTAAATTTAGATTATTGAAAACCAATGTTATTGTTATGTTATTTGTAATTGATATTAGATAAGTGATTTATTAATAACGGACTCCAAAGCAGAGGAATCTTGTGGAATGGTTGGTTACATTGAACATTGGAGCTTTTAAACAAATAAATATAATTATAATCATATTTTGTCGTAAATGCATTTCATTAGTATAATGTCTAGTTCTTTATATTCTTTTAGATATATCTTGGACTCTAAAATATCAAACAGTAATATGATACCTCGTAATAAGGAAGATATAGGTACTTAATGAATTTGGTGACCATCTTTTACTCAACTGACAGTGGCAGTATTTGTACATAACCTCTTTGGGTATTTTCTGACATAACCGAATGAAATTATTAACAAGACAACTTGACAACAGGGTAATTTTTAACCAATAGAAATCTTAGAATGTTGGTCACGTGGCGAGGTTTGTGACGTCATAAAAATTTATATTTTTTGTAAATATCTCGAAAACGGTAAACTCAATTGAAATTCTGATTTCACAGAAATGTTTAATATTACAAAACGCCTTGAATAAAACCATAAAAAGTATAGGTCAGAAAAAATTTAACTACCCCATTTGTCCTGATGAAATCTCCAAGGATTTGAAGATTTAAATGACACTTTTCCACACAGGTGCATCGGAAGAAGAGGTTTGGCTGCAAGATCACCAGATCTAACACCTCTAGAGCAAGATTCAAAGTATAAAACTAAAGTTTACGCTGCATAAAATTCCTTCGAAATCGCTCAGAAAATGCCGTCGTTCCATCATAGGTATCTGCATTAAGAAAATCACCGGTGAAAAACTCCAAGCTCTCGTTTTGTTTGAATTGAGCATCAAGTAACAAATTGAGAGCTTGTTTGCCGACTTAAACTTTCCTGGAAATGAATTTCCCGAGTTGTTTCCTCGAAATGTTTAAAAAGAAGACAACCTTTTGATGTCATTTATTATTTCAAATGGAGGGATTGCGTTTTCATAAAACGGATCAAAATTCAATTTGATGGTAATTTTAAGATAAACAAATTTGAAGAGGCGAAATATCTAAGGTTTTTAATAAAAATAAGACACATCTAAAGCAATCGAATCAAATATAAAATATTATTAAAAATTAAAAGAAATAATTTTTATAACCATTTATGTAGGCGTTACAAAAATTGATTCTATCCTCCGTGAATCTGTTTTTACTTTAAATTGTATGCAACGGATGGCGCTTTGATCATTTTAAATAAGCAAAAACCTCTGCTTACGACATTATAGATGCATGTGATTCCTGAAGGTTAGTTAGAATTTATATGCAGATGAGAGTGTTGCTGTTTTATAATTCAAAAGTTTAAGTTCATCAATTTGCTTTTTAAAAACCTATCCACTGTGAAGTGTAATATCTCAGTGAGTAGATTATAAAGAAAAATAAAAAAAGAAAAAAAAATAAAATTCAAAAAAAATATATTTATGTATGTACAATTGTATTTTAGAAAAATATTAAGGTATCTGGAGCATACTTTAAAAACTGATGAAATGTTTAACCTGTAAGTACATTTAATAGAATAAACACGTCTAAAAGCCTCTTACATTTAAACGCAAATAAAGATAATAGTGATTGGTTTCTTTGATAAAATGCACTTACTCTAATAGGATAAACTCAATTGTAGAAAAAACATTCTTTTTTCATTTTCATTTGTAGGCTTTCGTAAAACGAGGTTAATAATTGGCGCAGGTGTAATAATATTCGCATTTCCATTAATAAAGCATACTTTAATTAAGCACTGAAAGTTGCAGCTTGAAAATACATTTCTTTGGCGGATGCATTATTAAATTAAAACCTCGGGCAAGCCCTTTGTTTACTTGGGAAAGTTTTACGCGTCTAGTTTTGGCGTAAATTTTTGCAGGAAGGACGCTGCTTCCTCTTTCCTGCTGCATTGTCGAAAAGTTTGAGGTTAAGTTAATAAAAACTGGAAATTTTCAATCCACTGGAAAATATTTTTGCTAATTTGAAAGGTATCATACAAAGTGCTTAGCTAATGCCTAATGTACCCTGGGTACGTTTTAATAGGTTTACAGGAACGATGTATCATTAGGGCTTGGTATTATTTCTAAAAACTAAAGAAAATGAATTTTATAATTTACTTACCATAGCAGCTGTATCCATCTTCTCTAAGTATAAATCCTTCCCTGCAATCGCACTCATACATTCCATCGTGTAATTCGTAGCATAGCTGTTCGCAAGGACTGCCATGATTACATCGTCCTGAAAAAATAAAAAAATCCAACTTAACAACTGATTAGCCGGTTAAACTTTGAAACAGACAGCTGTTTCGACCTTTATTGGGTCTCATAAGTTTCGGGCAACTAGTTGTAGTGGAACACACCCGAAGCAAAAGACTACCGAGCTTATATACTGCCCAAGTAAGCCAACAGAGGCGAGATGTAAGAACAATACGATCGGTATATACTATGCAACCAAGAATGCACGGCAAATTGTACCACATAATAACTATTTAAAAGTGAATACGACTATTTTACTAGTAAACAATGCTGGTAGTAATTCAAATAGTAGAATTTTGACTGTTTTATTGTAATAAAGCTTTGCAGGAAAAAAATATAAATTGGCGAAAATTAGTGCGGCAATTAGTAGGGAAAATTGCTTTTTAATTGTGCTCAACTCATTTAGACGAATAATTCAGAGTAAACATGGTTAAAAATAGTCGAAACCTTTTAATTACCTCTATTGTAAAATAAAAAGTGTATCGTGTGTTTTGTTTTTCATTCATAACCTTAAAAAATTAAAAGGTTTGCCTTTTCACATCTTAATGTATGTCACACTTGGTAAACTTAAAAATATCAATTAAAAATTTTCTTTTAAATTGCAGTTGGTAAAAGAAAGCAAAGTGGAACGAGAGTACGACTTTTTATTTCTAGGTAATATAAATTGCCCAAGTATACTTATTAAAATGGCATATTTATAATAAATAAGGGTTTGGTTGTTTTTAATTCAATTTTATTTCTTGAATTTGTTTATAATAAATAAATTTTTATTTACCACAAAAAGTGTATTACAGAATAAATGGTGCGACGCAATTTTATAAATCCATGTACACTCGGCTAATAAATGGGATTTTGCTTAGCATTTGCCAGAAGCATTTCCATTTTAATGAACCAATTTTCGTGCAATTTAGTTTCAAACATGATTAATGAGAGCAAAGATCATTTATGTGCTGCAGTTTTTAACCTGCATGAGAATTTAATTGAGCCATTAAAAAAATTCCGGGCTTTAAAATGAAATTTTTTTAAACTCCGTTCGAGTAATGAACATGGTATTAATTTGAATAAGAGGGATTATTTATGCTTGTTATTTTGCTGTTACAAAGTATTTTTCATTTTTGCGGTTGGTTGTAAATTAGTTGATCAAAAATTTTAGAAACGAAAAATTGAAAATCTTCTAATCTTTTTATATTTTTAGACCCCTGTTACGTTATAAATTGTTTTGCAGCTCCACATGATTTATCGTGGAAAATAACGTTGAAAAAGCTTCGTATTCAGGATATTTAGTTTTTAGTTTTTGACGATTTTTCATATATAAAATGGCGTACCAAGTTACACCAAAGAATTCACACACTGTAAATTTAGCTTCTGCTAATAATAAAACATCAATATTAAGGCAATTAGTATCGCGTGTCACCAAATTGTGGGCAATATTAAGTTTAAAGGAATCACATTTTCCATCCCAGGGACTATTAAAGAAGTCTCAGACGCAATTACGACTCTACGGCTCCCGTAATTGCCTTTACTCACGCCGACATTGGTTGGTTTAGTTTGTTTCTACACAGTAAAAAGTTGTAGAGTGAAAAAGTTAGTTTAAAACATCACTATTTTCAATAAAAATATATTTTTTCGTCTGAGTGCGATGGAATGAGCCCGTGACATTTCATTTTGGTGAGGCAGAGGCCCTCATTTAAAGGCGAAGAAAATTTTTTAAACCCAACTTAAAAAACCTGACGTCGCAGTTCACAACCTATACTTAAAACTAAGTAAAAAACTTAGACTGTGGTGGGGAAGGAATCCTCTACTTTGTCAATGAAATATATTTTATTGTAAAAATGACGTTTGTTTTAAATAAACCTCATTTTTGTCTAATTAATATTTCATTGTTCAGCAAGAACCACGTGAAGGTCAACAATATCGGTACAATTTCTCACCGTAATATCCCTAATGACTAAATTCACATAAATCACCAAGTTCAATTAACTAAACCCACAGAATAAACCACTTACAAAAGAATCACAAAATAGACAAACTCATAGAAAAACAATAAACAAAATATTGCGTAAATAATCACGGATTTGTTCTTTAAACAGTTTAGAATTTTATAACCAAAACAAACCTAAAGAAGGAATCTGTATTTATTTTATTGGTTACTCTGATGGCTACAAGATGGCGATAGTGTTAAAATATGTTTATTTTAGAATAAAAATATAATTCCGATTAAATCGATTTATAAAAATAATACCATTTATTATTGAATTTTGAAAAACGTGTGAAGTATAATTTATCTAAAATTCCGCAACAGTGTTGCCACAACACCTGCTTATTTCCTTGGATGTCAACTATGATATCGCATTGTAATGGAACGAGACAACAAGGCTAACGCCAATCGTGAGTCTAAATTAGTTCAGGCATGCTTCTGAGCCAATCATCCAGCTATAAATATTAGTTTAAATTGCGGTCGTTTCAAATTCAAATAATTTAAATGTTGCTGGGTATTCCACGTATAAAATCAATCAATTTTATTGACTATTTCACAATCCATGTAAACCAAATATTAAAAATTTATAGTATATTATAGAAAGTAAAATATTTAAATTATACTTAATTTTTTAATTCTCTATGATGAGGCATAAGGTGAAAATTTGAATCTATAATAAAGTGTACCTGCTCAAGCTATAACTAGTGTTCTCTAGTGAAGCCTAGTGTACTGTGTAAAATATGTGTAAAATATCGGTAAATTTAGTTTAGCAGAATAGTTACAAATGTATTGGTTAATAAATGCCCAAATGCACTGGTATACAAATAGGTTATTTAGAGTTATTGATGGAAACAATAAATTTGTTTTAGACTCATTTAACAAAATAATGCGAGTATTTGGATTGGATGTCGAATAATGTTTACACCTAATTCGATAACTAAACATACACTCAATATTTTATTTTAAAAATTCGAAACTTAGCATAACAATATTTTAGGAGCTTTTAAAGAATATTCATCAGATCTAAAGAAGAGGTCTCATATAATGGCCAGCAAGATCAACAGATCTAACTCCTCTAGACTTTTTCCTATAAGGAAATCTACAAAACAGGTTGTTTAAAACACAAACTGCTAATAATTATTTGGATGATTAAATTAATAAATTCCTATAAAATATATTGTTAATTTGAAATAAATTAAAACCGATTTGGTTTATTTAATAACTGAATACACAAATGGATTTGTGGTTAATGCATAATTGATATGCCTGCTAAAAATTTATCCAATTTAAAGTCCAAACTAAATTCATTGTATTTATTAATTAAAATTATACAATTTTAAGATTGCTGTCAAATGTTTAAAATTAAAATTGTGTAAAATAATCAAAACATAAATTTAATTTAAAAAAATATTATTGAAATCCAAATTATTTGTGTCCGAAACGTAATCCGGATATTATGTTTAATTGTATTTCGTAGTACTACAGCATCAAGGCTTAGCATTTATCTGATAAATCGATATTTATTCGGAGATTAAACGTTTTTAATTAAGGGGTCATTAAAAATATATAATTAGACAAATTTTAAAAAGGTTTCTGGAATTAAAAATTAAGGTCGTTTGAAGAATCAAGTTTCAAAATTAATTTTTAATTAAAAGGACTGGACCTTGTTGAACTTTAGTCACGAACAGAGAAAACATTCTTTAATAATAATTTCTCCAATTGATTTAAAAACTGTACAATAATTTTTGGGATGCAAGGGCGGTAAAAAGGAAAATGAAACTAAATTATTAATTTAGATACCTATGTATTCAGCGACTTATACAAAAAATATGCAAAATAGAATACCTAAACTTCTGTGGGTAAAAGGCATAAGGGGATAAGTCAAAACAATCAATTTTTTAGTAGTGCCTTAAACGTGTTCGCATTAATTTAGGAAATACATTTATGGTTAGCGAGTATATCCTTTTGCCAGCACATGTCATATGCTAGAAAAAGGGTATGCTCGCTAACCATAAATATATTTCCTGAATTAATGCGAACACGTTTAAGTCTCTACCGAAAAATTGCTTTTTTTGACTTATCCCCTTATGCCTTTTACCCACAGACTTAATATAACTGACACTGACAACCTAAAATAAACATAACAAAACATAAACTACACTGAAAAATAAAATTCGTATACACAGTAAAAAATTTTGCCCGTGTAAATTTTTTTGTGTAGGGGTAAAAATATTAGTTGAGTTGATATGTAAGTATAAAAGTTACACTACAAAATACACTAGGTAGCATTTAGTGCTTATTAACTTTATTAAACACATTTAAAGAATTTGAACATTATTCATTGGTACATTCACACTATTTATTATTAAAATAAATCAAAAGGGTAGAAAAACTTAATGCGAGTGTTTATTACCCCTTAATGTGTTAAATAGTGACAAAATGTACACTACAGTGCATGCCAATTTCTTTCTCTGTTTTGATGTTACTAAGAGCTCTTTTCTCTTTACACTACTAGTGCACATTGTATCACAATTAAAGTTAAATTACACCAAGAGTGGCAAAATACATTGAAAAAACTGGTAATAACCAAAATGCGTTTTAAATGTTTGGTTGGTACCTATCTACATACGCAGTGCATATCCGGAGATACCGCGTTGTGGAAGTGTGGCATTTTTGTTCATTTAGATTTTAATTACGGTGAATCCATAAGGGGACATTCTTATTTTTGGTAAGTATTATACTTCCTCTTTCTTTAAGCCTTAATACTCAATAAATACCAATATGTTAAGAGGTTGTCCTTACCCGACCTATATTATATATCAATAATTTACGGCAGTAGGTCGGGTACTTCTTATAACATTAATAATATAAATACATACACACTTGATTTACTTTTTATTTTCAAGCGTAATATATTAACCTATAAATACATTCTTATTAATATTATGGAAATTTGTACACGTGTGGTAAATCCCCGACATACAGCCGCCTGACGCCTCTCTACC